ACCCCACGCGTGCGTTTCCCTTGCCTCCCCATTTTGTCAGCTTCGAGGCTATGAGGCCGGACCTAACTCTCCTTCTGTTAAAGTGGCCCAAAATGAATACAAGAGGTGAAACATCAACACTTAAATTTGGCCCATTTATCCTCTCATCCAATTCCTGTTATCCAAACTCTCAAAATACACAACCTAATTTGCACCCAGTCTCCTTGATCAGTTATTACACTCAATATTTTAATAGTGATTAATATTTAAGTTATGATATTATTAAGTTAAAATCTTTTATTTTCCTACCCCTAAATTATACCAGTTCAAAAAAAAAAAAAAAAAAAAAAAATCCAATTCATGTTCTTTCAATGCTTGGGGTGTGCATTGTATGTACATTATGGTCACTCAATAAGAATGACATAATTGTAATATTATATAATATTATGAAAACAATTCAAAATATAAACGAGTTAGCATTTTTTGATTTGTATTGTTTATAATTGGAACTGGCATTGTTTTAGCCATTCTAGGCTTGCTAGAAAGCCAGAGATTTCATGGAAATTGGAATGGAAAATTTCAGACTAAACAATTAAACGTTGTTTTGTTGTTCTTTTTAACCTAAACAGAACAAGAGACCCAAACTAAACAAACCAGCATGAAATGCGCAGAGAACTTATAACTTTTCCACATAAATTTTACAATTGGAACGTCTCTTCCATTTCGTGTTCTTACCAAGCTCCATAACCATTACATCCTCCGTACTCCTCTCATCCCTATTCCAAAATCTGAAACTCACAGCATTTGACTCTGGTTTGTCAGGTAACTTTGTGCCATGTAGAGAACACCATCTGGGCAATTCAACAATACTACAAGGACAATTCTTTGTATGATATAATGTAACATAAAATAAATGTACGCATATCAATTGGTACATGATTTACAAAATTTTTTATTAAAATGTAATAAATAAAATAACATATCATATTGTATATAATGCATTTATTATTTTTTAGATAAAAAAAGCATGATTCTTGCTGACATATCAATAAATTTACTGAATTTTACCTAATTTTTTTATAATTTAATAAAAGATACTTATCCATTCGACTAAAATAAGGATTCTTTTTAAGACGCACTATAAAATAAGTCAATTTTAAATAATTTGCCCACACAATGCTAACTCCAACCTGTTGATTTGTAATAAACAGAAATTAGATCACATCAACACTTACTTTTTTTTTTCCCCTTCTGGACAAAATCCAAACTAGCAAAATATCTTGAGGGGTCATCTATTCTATCCTCCACCTATGTAACATTGTTTTGTTGCCTCCACGTATAGTAAGGACACCCTGGCTAAGATGAGCTTTTATTGTTTCTGACAAAGATTGATAGTGATGGCAAAGGAAGAATGAGAAGGAATCCTTATCTTATAATTTCATCTTAACAAAAGGTCAATCCAAGAATTTCAAGTCGATACCATCTTAGGTTACTTTACATCTCATTGTAATGATAACGCTTCAATTTTTCTTTTTTTAGTTTCTACTTGGCCATATCTAGACTGGAATATTCAATTTAGATTTGTTAGAGCCAACTAGGGGATTAAAACTTGTTATATGAGCTCCAGCTGGAACACAATTTTAAGTTTAATATTGAGTTCAATCTTGATAAAATCTTGCATATAGTTCAATAATTCTTTAATTTTTTTAAATTTTTTGTTTGATTATATCTAAATTTGAATCCTTAGTTTAGTGTTGTTAATGAACAACTACTTGATTCACCAATTTAAATTTGACTTGTTAAATGAACTTGAGCTAGAGTTTACTTTTAAGTTTTATATTGAGTTCAAACATGATAAAAACTTACAAATAGTTTAATAATATTAAAATTCCACCCATAAATAAGTCGTGATCAAGTTGGATGTTAATTGAAATGAGGGGATGGGAGGGAAGATTTTTTTTTCTTTAATCAAACAAAGACGTGAATTTAACATACTACAAAAATAGCCTGGCACTCTTCCTTGCACGCCTCATTTTTGTAACTTAGCAAAAACGAAAAATTAATAAACAGTACAGAAAATTTTGAAATACAGAAGGCATTTAATTTTTCTTTATGCTCGAGGAAATCCGTGTGTTCAGAACAAAAATTGTCAGTTATGAACTGTAATATATGAATTAATATTATCAGATTATCCAGTGTATTTGGTTTTGGTTTGGAGGGGATTTATGCCGGTGCCGGAGCTCCTCCAGGAGGAGGCGGGTCTCCCGTCGGTCAGCAGCGCTGCAACGCCGGTAAGATTGTACCCTTTGCTTAGTAGATTCTTCCAGTTCTCTTATTTCATCCACTACAATTTGCCTCTCCCTGCACTCCATGCTGCAAAACCCCTGATTACCCCTGCAAACATTGACAAACTCTAAATAAGCAAATGATGTAATATTCAAAAAAATTTCCTGAAATTTTCGCGGACTGTATATCTAGCTACCTGTACATGTAGACTTCTTTGTTCAGGCTTAATTGGTTCTTACATAGATGGCATGATTTGAGGAAGCAAGATTCAGGGGTGGCAGCGGTGGAGGCGGCAGCGGAGGGCGGGTTGAGTTTAATTAATACAGATTTTACAACGACGTTAATGGGTTTTTTTCCTAGAGAGATTTGAGTTAAGATTCTCAAGCCGACATCATCTCCTCTCTTTTCTCCAGTGTCTCCAAAAGGAGTCTTGAATTTGAGAAGCATTTTGGTGTGAGAAACAGAGGAAAATGAGAAAAGATCTTGAGGACGGAGTTGGGGGAGGGGAGGGAGTGGTGGGTATTTAAATACGAGTTGTGTCCACATAAGGGCTGAGTCATGTGGCTAACTCAATGAAAAATGCACTGGTGCAGTTAATTGGATGAAATACTTTTGAGTCATCAATCTTTTAAGATCAGTTGCTAACTCACCCTCATTCTTTTTTTTCTTATAATCATCCTCAAGCCTTAAAATCCAATTAATTGTTGTTTAACTTCTTTAAAGTTTGCAACCGTGAGTTTCTCTATTGCAAAAGGTTAGTTTTTACTATTGCAAGAAACTGCATTTCCAACCCAAAAGGGTTTTGGGTTCATTAGTAATGAACTTAGTTAAATTATTATTATGTAGTAGTAAACTTATAAAATATAATTTTACCAAGATTTTTGAAAGACTTTTTAATAATTAGGAGTTTGAGTTTTATTTTAAAAATTTTATATTTAAATCTTAAAATAAATAGGAAAACCAAATATTTGACCCAAAAAAAATCCTATCTATATAGCTTATCACTAGACTTACTAAAAAAATAACCATGATGATGTAAAATTAATCAATTATTTATGTTTATTTTTTGTTGTTTAAAATAATGACTTTTTTAATCATTAAATGGGCGAGAACAACTAGTAGTCTATGGAAAAAGCTTCAAGGAGTGAAGGATCTAACTGCTCCATTTTCGAGACTGAGGATTAGTTTGTAAGTGATCCTGACGACCAAGGACCCAAAACAGTTTTTTTATCTGCTTTGAAAAACACGTGCTGCAACTTTGTTGCTTTTTAAATAAATCAGTGTTTCACCGCGTTTGGCTTCGGCCCTTTTAGGAAAGTTACTAGGTCTACTCGTTTGGTATAATTGAAATTTTTAATAGAAATTTTATTAAAAAAATATTATAAAAATATTATTTTTATAACTAAAAAAATAAAAATAAAATAAAAATAATGAGTTAATTTTATTAAAATTTAAATTTTTTTTATAATTTTATAATGAAATAGATAAAATATTAATTTATAAAAAATTATAATATTTTTTTTATAAATTATAATATTTGATATAATTAAAATTTTCTCTCCATCAACTTGCCAAACATAGCCCAAATCATTAAATATTTACCAAAAAAAAGCAAAGATCATTGAAATTCTCAGTGAAGAAATGGGAGAAATCGGAAACCTTTTCAGCTTTTAAGTGCTTATGGCCTACCAAGAAGCCGACTGGGTGGGTCTTCGACTGTCCTGAACCAGAACCGTCCCTTATGTCCAATCCAAGCATTAAAAACGTGTATAAATAAGGCAGATCGACTCTGTTTACTGCAGTTGTAGATAATTAATTCTCAAATAATTTTACATCTATTGTTTGTGTTTTCCTGGCCGTCTCCATGTATTGTTCGTTAAAGATTTTATATATAGTATGTAAATAAGAAAAAAATTTGTAATTTAAATTGTAAAATATTAATTATTAGATAATAAAATAATAATTAATAATAAAATTATATCTTTTTATTTAATGATTGATATTTTATAATTTAGTACAGTTTAAATTGAAAAATATTAAACTCATACATAAATAATAATTACAATTTTTTTAACAAATGAAACTATGTATTGATATAACAAATAATAATAATTTTTTTATATGATATAATAACAGCATTACCTAAAATTAGTTATGTTTAGAGTTAATCCAAAGTTAGCTACGTAGACAAATAAAAAAAAAAAAAAGAATAAAATTTCTAAGTTTTACACCCATATAAGTTTGATCATAACTCTCTTATACAAAAAACTAGAAAATATTATTTAGAATTTAAGAATTTGAGATTTAGAGTTTAGAGTTTAAAAATAGTAATGGAAGACTTAAAGTTTTAGGGTTTTGCATTTGCTGCTTTAAGGTTTATGATTTAGTGTTTAGGATTTATCTTTAGAGATTAAGGTTTAGTGTTTGAAATTTAAGGTTTAGATTACAAAAGTTATACTTTAGATTTTAAGATTTGGGATTTTTAAGGTTCAGTAATTAAGGCTAGGGTTCAATATTTAATGTTTAGGGGTTCAATAGTTAAAAGTTTAAGGTTTAAAATTTTTATAATTTAGCATTTTAAATTTTCTTGTGTCTAATATTTAAATGATTATATTAAAAAATTACTACAAAGAAACAAAAATATAAAAAAATAAGAAAAGTAAAGATCAAGACATTTTAATATTTAAAATTATTAGAATTGTTTGTTAAATTATTCAAATACCCTTCTTAAATCTTTTATATGTATTAATTTATTAATAATATTTAGATTTTTTCATTATAATTCATGACATTTTAATTACTAAAATATACAAATTTTTTACAATCCAAAAAAAAATTATTGAAATTATGAAAAAGCACAAGCCGTATCATTGTTCCCAATTTTAGTTCCATCTGTCTATGCCCTTGATACGTGGTCCAATTCCAATATTTATTTCAGTTCTCCTGTTTTTCTAATTTTGGTTTATAGTGTACAATAATTATTATAAATTTGTTTATATTTCCCACGTAACCGGCGTGGCCTATTAGCTCAGTTGGTTAGAGCGTCGTGCTAATAACGCGAAGGTCGCAGGTTCGAGACCTGCCTGGGCCAATTTTCGATTGTTTGAATTTAAACTTTAAAATTTTAGTCTATCTTGGACTTTGGGGCCTCTGGGCCAATCTTTCAAAATTGTTTTCTCTTTGTAAATTTGATGGAGGTCTTGTGGGCTTCATAGATTTTTTCGGCCTATAATAATGTGCTGCTTGAAACTCAACCTTTATTTTCGAGACAATAGTTAAGAGTTAATACAATTATTCTATTAGATTATTGCTTCTTTTTTTTTTTTACAAACCTTCAAATATTCAAAATTCATATTATATTTTAATTAATTTTAAATTAAGTCGTGCCAAGCTTTATAAGAGAGGAAACTCTCACAGTATCTATTTTTATATTTATAAGATTTGAATTTGAAACCTTATTTAAGAGAAATTAAATTTCTTCCACTCGAACCAACAATAGATCATGGGTTAGATTATTGCTTATTTGTTTTACTTCTTAAAAATTAAAAAAAATTATTTTAAAATTACGTCATTTTAATAAAACACCATAAAAAAGACAAAAAAATAATTTAATTTATAATTTAAAAATAAGATATTTTAATTCTTTTAATAAAAATTTATTAAAAATAATATAGTTTTAGAGTATTTTTCTCCTAATTTTTAAAAATTGAAGTGGGTGGGCACATATCATGTTACATTAAATCTTTTGACAATTTCATATTATAGTCTTTTTTCAAAGAATACAATTTCATACATTAATTAAGGCAAAACATGCAAATTAGCCCCTCAACTCGTTGACTAGTAGCAAATCACCCCCTCAACTTAGTTCACTGCAAACTAACCCCTCAACTCGTCTGTAGTGGCAAATCAACCCCTTTGTTAAGCTTGATGTCATTAATTTGTTAAGTTTTAACATTCCGCTCATCAACCCCTCCTCTACGTCTGACCTAAATTGTTTTTGTTGAGATGGATGCTTTGTTGGACAAATTGTCATCAGACTCATCAGATCAGAGCAAATTTTGGCAGCATGGCGGATGGTTTCCAAATCCCTAAGGCAACTGATTTCCTCCTAACACTTTCCAAAACAATCGCCTTCTCCAATCTCATCCTTCTCCTTTGAATTGCCTTCTCTCGGTGGTTGATCTCGATCTTCAAAATCTCTTACTCACTCAACTTGTTTCATCCCCAATAATAGAACGACAGATTCACTTTCGTCTCTCGATTTCTCCCTTTTCCCTTAGATCTCTTCTCTTAAACCTCGGACAATCTCAACCTCTCAATTTCAAGATTGCCTTCTCCTCCAATATTCTCATCCTTTTTCTCCCTTAAATCCCCAATTTTTTAATCTTTGATTCCATTCCATTCCAAAACCGTCACTAGATCACTGCAACAATGACCTGTCTTGAGCTCTAAAGCTTGATGGTCAACATCTTATTGCGTTGGATCGATGTTCCTAGCTCTAATCAACACTCCTATGGTGTTGGCCAGTCCCTGAAGTATAGATCTGGTATGCATCTTTAGATCTGGCTCAAATAGAGAAATTGTGATCTATTTCTTATTGATTCATATCGTGGATTGGTGTTGATAGCCCTATGGCATGTTTTGGATCATGTTTGTTAGGGATTGAAGATGTTGACCATTGCAGTTTGGTGCGTATTCACTATCTTTTTTATTTGTTAATTGTTTTTATTTCTTTCAAGTGTCTTTTATTTTTGTTTTTATTTTTTTGTGATTTGATGAATCTGATGACAATTTGTCCACCAGAGCATTCATCTTAGTAAAAACAATTCAAGTCAAACACAGAGGAGGGCTGATGAGCGAAACATTAAAACTTAACGAATTGATGACGTCAAGCGTAATAGAGGGGCTAATTTGCTACTACAGACAAGTTGAGGGGTTAATCTACATGTTTTGCCCATGGTACTCATTTTGTTTTAAGATAATACTCATTTTTTTATTTTTTCTTTAAATTAAAAATTTAGAAATTATTTATATTTTTTCTATATTAATTAAAAAAAAAAAAAGCCAATTAGTAGAAAGGTTTTAACTTTTAACCATGGTAATGTCCATCTCCTACCCTAAATTGTAACTGTTCAAAAAAAAGAAATTTTTTTTGATATAATGAATAATTAAAACTAAGGGACAACAATCTTCTTTAAAAATAATTAATTTAAAATAAATTTTGACTAACAAAATTATTATTATTTTGAAATAAAGAAAATAATTAGTAAAGGTTATACAATACGCAGTCCTAGAGAACGACTTCCAAAATTTAGGATACGTCTCTGTTCGTGGACTCCAGCCTCATTCTCCTCATTACCCAACCCAAGAAGAGTGACGTTAGATTTTGCATATAAATCAATTATAGTTATGAAGGGATAAATTCTTTCGTCTCATGAAAGATGTCTTAAGGGAAAAGTTATGAAGCTCATGGATAAAGAAGATGTGATGGATATAC